ACGGGCTCCGGCGTCTTCAGGCCCAGGATGCCGCAGTAATGGTTACACTGGTGGGTGGCCACGAATTGCTCCAACAGAGAAGGGAAGCAACTTTCCTTCAGCCCCTGGTACCTGCCAACACAGCGATCCTCAGCCCCTGCTCTGCACCAGGAGATGTCCTGCCAGAGCAGGGAGCCGAGGACAGAGCCCGCCCGCGCTCACCACCATGGCCCCTCGTCCTGTGAGAGGTGGAGCTGGGGACAACCAAGGCCACCCTGCGCCAGCAGCTCGAGGTCACTCACCCTTTCAGGTTTGTAGCAATCCGCACGTTGGTCATCTTCCAGCCCACTCCTGCAATGAAAGGGAGGACAACCAGTCCCTGTCCAGAGAAAGACAGGCACCAGTGCCAAAGGCGGGTCATCTCCATGGCACGTGGGGAAACAGGCAGGAGGGCAAGGCTGGGGCTTTTCCTCCTTCCACAGCCCAGAGGGTGGTGAGGGGCCGTGGGAATCAGACGGGAGATCCCTTTACCTTCCATGTCAGTCACGAGGATGTTTCCGTTTGTCCACTGGTAGACCCAATGCTGGAAGGTGCAGCATTTGAGGATGATCTCTGAGGTGCCTCGTGCCACCAAGCTGCCATCTCTCTCGGTGACACAGTACTGCTCGCAGGGCCCACCCAGGTCCTCTTCCATTGTGGCGTAAGGGATGTTGTTGGCCGGTCGGTAAATCAGGTACAGAGGAATTATCCTGCGTGGGAGCGCGCAGCTGGGGTCAGCACCAGCTGGTGAGCTCTCCCGCCGCAGCACGTGGAGATTCACACTGCAGTCTGCAGCCCTGCCTTTTGCCTTTTCCCCCCAATATCCCTTCCGTTTGAGGGTGGGAGAAGAGCACGCTGCCCTTCGGGATGTCCCCAGCACCCACGAGGAACCCTCCCACCATCCCCCAGGATGCTCTGCTGGCACGTCAAGCCAGCAGAGCCACAGCACCTTACTTACTCAGGCACCGCTCCAAAATCAGGGACGGCTCGTGCCTCAGCGGCAAAGATCTTGCAGTACTCACGGCTGGAGTTCTGGATTTTACATTCCTGGAGATGCAAAGAGAAGAGTCAGAGACCTGCCCAGTCTTGCACCAACGCCTCCCTGGGACCCCCCCGCCTGGCCAGACATCTCCTGGGACCACTGCCAGTTGTTTCCCTGCCCTGGTGGTCAAAGGACAAGTGACGGGAAAGCTCCAAGCAGCTCCGTGTTGCTCAGAGAGAAGGCTTGAAGCCAAGAATAACACGGACATTGCAAGCCTGCTGGGACATGGCTCGATCCCTCCAGAGCATTCAAAAAGTGGAAGGAAATAAAGTGGGAACAGAGCTGGGGACCACAGCACAGGCAGACTGGGAAGGAGTGGGGGACACATGCAGAGGGTGCCCCACAAGGATGCCAACCTGGATGGTGATATCGTAGTTCTTCTCGATGAGGCTGTTCTCGTTCTTGGTCCCAAAGACAATGAAATTGTGCACTTTGATGACGCAGGTGCGGCCAGACTCAAAGATGGGCTCCAGGCCGTAGATGGCTCTGGCACGGCAGGCTTTGCGCAGGAAACCGGCGCCCACTTCCACATCCTCACTCACCACGCGCCCGAAGAGCTTGTCCCCCCAGTAGCCTGCGTCAGCCAAACCCTTCGCGAACACCATAGGTGTCATCTCGATCTCCTCTCCAACTGGCAGAGGGAAGAGCAGGTGAGGGCAAAGATGGGCTCCAGGCCGTAGATGGCTCTGGCACGGCAGGCTTTGCGCAGGAAACCGGCGCCCACTTCCACATCCTCACTCACCACGCGCCCGAAGAGCTTGTCCCCCCAGTAGCCTGCGTCAGCCAAACCCTTCGCGAACACCATAGGTGTCATCTCGATCTCCTCTCCAACTGGCAGAGGGAAGAGCAGGTGAGGGGGGACAACGCGGGCACGTCCTGCCCCCACCGCAGAGCTGCCTGCCCCCCCGGGCAGCACAGGGCAGCAGTTGCAGCTGATCAGCAGTGGTCCTTACCTTCCATCTCTTCCCGCAAGATAAATCCTGACAGCACTAGAGGAGACAGGAAACAAAAGGTCGTCAAAGTCCTGCCGGGATCCCACCCTGCCCCGTGCACTTCCACATCGAGGGACGGCAAGGAGGCTGGTGTGAATCACTCATAAATTAGCACGGAGAGGCAGACACACCTCGCAGAGGTGGTGTTATGGGGTGTGCAAGGCTCCCCCTCCCCAAGCCCTCTCCGGAGTTCGCCCTGCCACCCCATGGCACGCCCGGGCAGCTGGGAGAGCCACCAGGCTTCTGAGGGCTCCTCACCTTCTGGGCTGAGCAGGAAATCGGTGGAGTCAGTGCCGTACTCGTTGCTGATCACACACCGGTAGACCCCGCAGTCCTTCTGGGACGCCTGCACAACAGCCAAGGCTGCCTGGCCCTCGTCGCCAGCGCTGGAAGAAACCAGAGCATGGCCTCAGCCCCGTGGATGCGTGGGGGCACACGGGAGCGCTGCCACAGGCACTGCAGGTGGGCATCATGGTGCCCTTGGAGGGCTGAGAGGCGGCTGGTTGCACAGGAAACCAGCCCAAGGGTGGGCAGGGAGGCAGCAGCATCCCAGCTCGTGGCACCAGGAGTCCTGTCCTGCAGCTGGTACTCACGGAGATGCTCGTCTTCCAGGCAAGCCCTGCAACCTCTGGCCAGGGTTCGGCTACAGATGATAAAGGCACTTGCCTCTGAGTGTCCCTGGGTCAGGGTGGTGCTTGGGCTAACAGGCCTGCATCTGGATGGGATGGCTGGGAGCCAAACAGCTGCAGAGGTGTCCAGCTTCATTTTCAGCTGTTCACAAGTGAGGGCAGACATCACTCCTCATCCTGCAGCCTGTCCCTCCCCAAGGGACCAGCAAAGCGCTCGCTATCAGCAGGCTGCCTGTCTTCTCCAGCCTGCAGCACCAAGCTTTGGGCCAGCAGTTCCTCTAGCTGAGGTGGTGACACATCAGGCTGATGGGTCTCCATAAGAACCAAAGGCCCATTTCTGCCCTGCATGGCCAGTGTGAACCAGTGAGGGGATGACAGGCTGCAGAGGAAAGAGGTAGGACCCTCATCCTGAAGCCTGCTGGCTGAGCTGGCCATGCTCCGGTCAGTTAGAGGGGAACGGCCACTCCTGGTCCATCTGCCCCAGCTCAAATAGCTGCTGCAGGACATCGTTTCTGCCCTGGAAGCACCTCTTTCTGCTCATCATAAAGGGAGCTCAGGTACACTCAGAGGCATCAGACAAATCCTTTCCAGCATGGATGATGTTCCCACAGAAGCTCCCTTAGTCTTGAGAACAAGTTGCTTTCCATAATGCACCCAAAGGAGCATCCAGGATACAACAGGCCACCCAGCTGCCCGAACATGCTCTCCCTCTGCAAGGGCAGTGCCAAGGCATAGAGAGGGCACAGTCAGAGCTGCTTTTTTTCCCCTGTTGGTGCTTGCTGACGATGGTTGCATGGAAGCACCTGCTCGAGTGCAGCTTGTAGACCCTCCCAGCACAGCTGCCACCCTCACACGTATCACTTGGGGTCCCAGTTTTGCGGCTCACACCCAGCTTTCAAACTCTGAGACGGGCAGAGCACCTTCCCTGCCCTCCCCGAGGTTCAGGTTCAGCCCCTGCCCTTGCCAAGGCTCTGCAACTCAAAGCATCAGCCCTTTGGCCAGGATGCAGATGGAGCATCATTAGGACAAATGTGGCAGCATTTCCCCATCCGGGCAATCCCTCCCTCCCCGGGCACTGAGAAGATAAAGTTCACAACGTACCATGTCATGCAATGAGCTCCCCATGCAGCCTTTAGAGAAGAGGCGCCCTCGCCCCAGTGAACTGGATTTAACACACAAACCCCGGGCTACGCACAAGGACTACCACGAACTGGAGCTGGCAGGTTACCTCCGTTGGGTTTCTGCTACAGGGATCTCGTCCTTGTACCACATCAGCTTAGAATCACTCAAAATATTGAAGAACTGGCACCAAAGTTTCAGGTTTCCTGATGCATCGGAAAATTGTTCTGCCCTGATCTTACGGATCACCTGTGGAGCTAAGGACAGGGTGCAAAGAGATGGATGGTGAGACACACAGTGCTGCCTGCAGCTCTGGGGACAGGCCAGCCCACCCCAGCGCTGCTGCTCAGCGCTTTGGTGTTGGGTATCGCACATGTCAGCACAGCCGGGTATAACGGTGCCTTCCCAGGGAAGGTCTCAGAGCTCCGCTTGGAGAAATTTGATGGGATATAAGTGGCACAAATTCGCTCAGCAGCACAGCACTGCGATACCTGGGGGGGCTCGGCCAAGAAGCAACGCAGAAAAACACTACGCAACGTTGGAGGAAACGTTTATCTACCGGCGTAGGGATTTCGCGAGGTTCCCCTTACGTTTGCAAGCGTGCTGCTTTCTGCGAGGGTAGCACCTGGCTCCCGCAAGCACGTCAGCACCAGGATTATGCCTTTTCCAATTCAATGCCGTGAGGGATCAAATTAGCATTGAGCACGGAGGTGGAAAAGGAGCGTGCACCCCGCTGATGCCCACTGGACACCCAGCCGGCATGCGGCATGGTGAGGACCAGGACATGCAGAGCAAGAACAAGAGGATTATATGATTCCTTTGGCCAGGGAAGTCCAGGCTGTGGAGACAGCCAGTCTCAGCGCTGCTGCCTCTCACATTCACCTGCCCTCCCTGTGCTGGGGAAGAAGTCTTGGGGCAGACTTTTGGCTTTCACGCAGCCGAAGGGCGATGCTGAAAACCCCACAAATGCACAAAACTCACGTGGCCCCAGCTGACTATCACTGGCTCAGTTGGCCAGGCTCCCTGTGTAGGTGACAAGGAAACGTACTTCATGGGGATTACCTCTTCCCTTACCTTTAAACGGGTTATTTGCTTTCTTGGACTCTGCTGGCTGTGCTTCTGGCTTAGCATCTTCGGGGTCCTCATGGTCAGCACTGCTGTCACCTGTGGGCTCCTCATACAGCTTAGGAACCTCCAATGTGGCCATCTTCCTCGTGAGGGTTGGCGAGCGTTGCTCTGCAGGAGAGGATGGAGCCGGGCCAGGTGACTGCAGGAGGGCTGCGGTCCTCCTGGATTGCCGTGGCGAAACGGTAGGACTTCTCATGTGCCCTGGGCTCTCTGGGGTTGCCTCCCCCTCCTCCTCCACCTGCTTGGTTTTTGGCAGGTATATTTTGCGCCGGGCTCCAGAAGCAAGCTCCTCTGGCGTGGCACAAGGTAGCACCGCCGGAGGGTCACCAGGGCTCTCTTTTTCAGGGCTCGCTGGAGGCAAATTGTAAATACTACTAGGAGGCTGCACCACTCCTGCTGTTGGCACGCTGCCCACCACGATGGAGGGCACAGAGAGCTGGGGTGGCCCCTCCGCCTCGGGAGTGACCCGGGTATGTCTCTTTGGTGGCACAGGTCTGCATGCCAGCATTTCCTTGCTGGTAACGAATTCCTCGTTAATCATGCCTGTGATCCGCCTGGATGTCCTGGGGGTCAGAGGCAAGTTCTCTGCTGTCTGGAAGAGCTGATTGTTTTGTACCTTTTCCAAAACTTTCCTTGAGGTGCGGGGGCTCAGGCCTGCAATGCCTATCTCTGGGAGCATGACTCCCTCTGCATCGGGCTGCTCCCTGTCCCTGGGCTCTGTGTCTTCTTTCATGGCATCCTTGCTGCTATCTGACATTTTTAAAAGCAGCAGCAGATAGTTCTTCAAGGAGGAAACAAGGTTTTTGTGCTGCATCTTCTCCTCCAGAGACATGTCCTGAGGTCTCTTGGGGCTAGGCAGGACCAGCGGTACTTGTGGCTGAACCTCAGCACCTCCTTCGAAAGTGCCTGAAGGTGCTGCTGGTTCCTGATGCAGAGCTGTGGCTGTTTGCTCTCCTCCTGCCATCCCCTGAGGTCCCACGGGCACCGGTTTGGTGCTCTCCTCCCCTAACACGCTGACTGAAAAATCTTCTTGTGGGGAAGATCCATATGCTTTTTTGATTTCAGTTTCTCTGCTTGCAGGAGGCAGCAGCTGGGCTCCAGATGGGACCTCTCCTGCTGTGACCTCCATCCCTGGGGCACCGTGAGCTGCAAGCAGTGCCTCCTGAGCCACCGGCGTACTTGCTGCAGGAGCAGGAAGCAACTCTTCCTTGGCAAGTTGAACTGAAGCAGGAGCTGGTGTTTCAGCCTCCTGATGTCCCAAAGGTGTCCCTCCCACCTCCCTGTGTGCAGCCCTGGGAGAGGGTTCTGCTGCCACACTCCCTCCTGCCTCTCCACCAGGATGGCTTCCGGACAGGTCTGCTCCTGCCTCTTTGCTCTTCCCACCTTTGACTGCTGTCTGATGTGTGGTTTGCTCAAAAGGAGTGTTTTCTCCAGGCTTTGAAGGACTCGATTTCTTTAGCAATGGCTCTTCCTCATCTTGGCTTTTGTCCTTGTGATTTAACAGTCCTTGTTGAGTCTCTCTGCCCTCGAGAGCATGGGAATGTCCTTCTGCCTGCTTCCTAGAGAGAGGGTGCTCCTTGCTGGACTGCACGCGATCTGGAGAAGGTGCCGGTGCCTTTGTTGGCTCCTGAGGCCTCAGCCGAGGATTTGTCCTTTTCCCAGCCCCCCTGGTCTCCTGGCAGACAGGCATCTCTTTCCTGAGCTCCTCTGACTTATTAGCTTGCTGACCAGTCTCTGTGATTGGACCAGACACTGGGTGTTTTAGGTCACTAGCAGACCGTCCCACTGTTGTTGCAACCTAGTCAAAAAAAAAGAAAATAGAAAATTAGCATCATTTTACTGCCTGGGTCTGCTCAGTGGTGCTTGTGGTCCATCTGTACCGTATGGCACTGCCCAACTTCTGCTTGGGTCACAAGTATTAACCTGGTATGGCTGATACTCACTCATCCAGGGCCTCCTGGCTTCGCCATCGTCCCGCAGCAGTGCGTCCCACAGCCCCTGTCATGCTGCACAAAACGTTTTCTCGTTTAATTGGCTTCGACTCTTCTGCCTTTCAGTGCCTCGGTCGCGCACAAAGAGGCAGGAGATCTGCCTCTCTAAAACATCAAATGGCTTTTAATTCAACATCCTCTGACACAGTGCCTTCCCAAGGAGCAAAACTTCCCCGTTTTCACCAGCCGTTGCCGAGACCTTGTATGATTTCCTTGCTCTTTTTTAGGACCCAGTGCTCCCCCTACACTATATCTGCCATCCCCGCTCTGAGACGGGGCGATCGGCATGTCACACACGGCCTGGATGAGGCTGCCCAAATGATTTACAGCGAAACCGTACACCGTGACGTTATCTGCGCTATGCGACCATCCTGTTTCTTTGACATTCGGGAAGCTCAAATGTTTCCGACCGAAGCTGCACACCAGCAGACGTTTCAGCAAGCTGCCCGCTGTGACGGCTGAGTTTTATCCCGAGGAGATCTGGTGAAATCCTCCAGCCGAGGGGCACTACCTATTTTTGTAGGATAAGGCTCAGGGGAGGCAGCGAGGCCGTTGACAGACGCTGTGCTCGGCTGATGCTCAGCTAGCAGCTTTGGGACAATTGCATGGGAACGGGGCATGCACCCAACAGGTTCCTCTTCCATCCCAGAGGATCTGCTACTAAGGATTTCCTCCTGAGGTCTCTGACCTGAGTTTTAAGCCTCCAAAATGAGGTCCATGGGAAAGGAGGGCTGTGGAGCTTAGCCCTTCTGTTTTGTGCCACTTTGGCTTTGTTTGAATGCTTGGAAAATTCAGGAAAGGTAATGCTGGGCAAGGCCTTCTCCACGCAATTGTTACAGCAATGTGAACATCAGACAACTGG